TACATACACACACACACATATATATATATATATATATCACAAATTTCTGTTTCTTTTGCCCGAGTATAAATAAGCAGCTACATGTACGCAGTGGGATTCCTTAAAATACCACACAAGGAAGTGACCTGGAAAGTTCATCAGTTTCTATTCAACCTCCCGGTTTACGGCCTCTTTGACACGAGGCTTTATTTTTTTTCCCCCAGATGTCGGCTGATGAATCCTGAACTCGTGGCTCTCACTATAGAAACGCAGCAGAGGGCGGTGGGCTACAGTCATTAAGGTGTGAATAAAGCCAAGCGTTCTCCTCCTGGATAACCGAAATGATGAATCGCTCCCGTCACCGAGTGCTTCCTGCAGTACACCCGAGACCCGGAGCCACAACATAAGACTGAGCTGCAATACATGAACATCTGCTCAAGCCTTGTTCCTGGGAAAACACGCATAGAAACTGTCCACAGATACGCAGATAGAAAGGTCGATACTGGGACCACATTGTAACAGAGAAGCAGGCACATGCGTACACACACACACACACACACACACACACAAGCACATAAATGAAGTTTGTCCACCCCATTTACATGAATGAGGTAAGAGTAAATACAAGAAACACCTCAACAAAATCTGACCGTTATAACCTTCATAAAGAAAGTATGTACTGCTGGCTGCATTAATATTAGCTCGGTGTATCTAATAAACCAGCAACACAAAGGGGCTGCTGTGTACTATGGTTGTATATTTCACTCAGCAAATGTTTTCAATGAAGCCATCTTGTTTGACATAAAAGTGTGAAAATAAAATCGGTTCATCCGAGCTCAGGTTTTGATGATTTACTGTCCAAACTCCCACAGACCAAACTAACCAACATCCCACTGACATTGAAAAGGGGGCCTTTCAGCAGGTAGGGACAAATTTACCCAGAGTGCTCCTCTTCTACGAGCGTGGTGGTCTTTAGCGGAACGGTTTTCTTTTTCACACCTCCTGCCTAAAACAACAGACCTGGGCTATTTAAGTAAATACATGAAAACACACACAAACAGATGTTCACAGCTAAGGACAAAACCCACAAACAGTGCATGATTTACTCCACAGACACTGCTCTTGGTTGGCACAAATCCACAGCCTTGGAATCTGGAATATCCTAATCTCAACATCTGCCTTATTAGCAAACACAGGCACATGTCAAGAACTTTGGAAAAACATATTGTTTGCCAAAACGACACCTGAAACTTGAACTAAATTAATTCCTATAAAAATGCATGGAGATAAGAAAGAGCAAGACATTAAACAAGAAGTCTAAATGCTGCTAAAGAGGCATTGAGTAATGACGTGCTTATCTAAATTGAATTCATTTTAACTGATATAAATCTAAATTAATGCAAGCTGAAGTTTGTTTTCGCTTAGCTTAGTGTGTGTGGAATTGGAGAGGAAATAGGAAATGGTGATCAGGGCGGTCCCTAGCAGGCAAAGGATAAACAGCTGCCGTGTAAATTCTGGGGCAAATGACGTCCCAAACAGAGCAGAACAGGTAGAGAAAACACCTCCAGAGGGTTAAAGCACACAGGACATGACCACCATGTATTCAAGCTAAAGCTGAAAGGGACTGTTGGATCGACTCAATTTCCATATCCACCAATCCCATTTTCTTGATCCGTCAGCTGTGAGGGAAACAGACAGCAAGCAGTAAACCAATGACTTTATGCCATTTTATCTGGATACAAGCTTTCCATTTCTTCCATTTTCGGCAGAGTGCTTTGGAGAATTGGAGCACAAGGACTATAAAGCTGTCTAGACGAGCAGTAAAAAGATGTGTACAACAGTGCGCCCAACTGATTTGGCCGTTAGACATCTGCCTTTGTTTGCAGCAACATATAAAAATGTTTTTTCCATATTTCTCAAGTAGTTAAACTTGATCCCCCCCCCCCCCCCCCCCCCCCTCCAACTTCAATGAGAAAAAAAAAAAAAGGATATTCACGAGTTTAGCATTTTATTTCGGGGCTCAGTCGGTGCAAGAAAAGAATCAAATCAACTGACATAAAAGCCGAGGTCATAAATCCATCTTTCCTCTTGTCGCCAAGCAATCTTTTCTTGCCATCTTTTGTTATGGAAGCAAACAAACTGGCCTGCTTTCGTCCCCGACTGTCACGCAAGATTGGATTTTGATGAGACCGATACTCGAGCTGTGTACTATTTGCTCCTTGCTTTCCCCCTTTCTTTTCTCTTGATCTGAACAAAAAGCAGAATTACCTGAAGCTGCTGAGCTCACTCTCACACAGGGGCGGGGGGGGGGAAGGCCTTGGTGTTTCTGCCCTTTGCTCAAATGTCACAGGCACAGTTCGGGTCAGTAAAATAGATTTTTTTTTTACCCTCCTGTGCAGTAGACACTTTCTACAGCTCTGGTAATGGACGATGAAACGAACGATCCGTTTCCTTAGTTTCCGGACTGACTTCAAGTTTAGGACTGGGAGGATGTTTGCTGCAGACAAGAGGAAAAGTGGGACTGGTTTACCTCAACTGCGGTTTGATTTGTGTATTCATCTGGTTTGAATCAAACATACGGGAGACAACTGTATGTTTTTGCAAAGGTGACTAATCCTGTTACCGTTTCAATGTTGTGCTTCCATTATCCCTTTTCAACGTAGCAGAACAGGTTGACTCACACACGGCCGGCGACTGTGTTCAACTGTCGGGCCCAGTGAACAGATCAGCTGGATCTAGATCAGTACATCTCTAAAAAGGTGCATGGGAACACATGCTGCGATTGGCACTCAGTCACAGTCTCTGTGTTTCTCTCCTTTCACACACGTTACTGAAGCAGCTCTCAGCAAGCTGTTTCCTGCAGCAGCCATCAGGTTCATTGACAATAAAGAACAACTGGCATCTGTGGAACTGCGTAAGTTGTTGGAGCCACTTCAACAATACACTCAAAGGCTTCTTTGTTCATTTTTTTCACAATAATGTCATTGTCCACAAACCCATCAGGCAAGATGTAACTCAATTAATTAAGCCGATCGGAACATCAATGGACGGTTTGCTAAACGCGTCCCCTGAACAACGATTGTCCTCATAACTAATCATAACTTAGCAACGGTAACTGGACACGGCAGGCCTGTAAAGCTGTAAAAGGATTTCCCCTAATGGTGGAGGGGCGTGCATGGATCTGTAGTAAGACCGATACTCAGCATTTATAGAGTTTGGAGGGTGTTTTTTAGCTTTCCCAAAACCAAAACACAAGTAGTAATTGTTAGGAATGGAATAAAAATGTCTCTCTGCTTGTTCGTAAGCTGCAAACTTCCGCATTCCCAGCTTACATACATCCATACACACAGCAGTAAGCAAGTGTACCTCAGAAGTCAAGGAGCATATCTTTAATGCTACTACATTGGTTTGTGCGGTAGAACTGGCACAATTGTGAAATCTGCTGGCTATAGTTGAGAAACCTGTTTTTTTATCTACCTGCCGGAAATCACATTTCCCTTTAACATTGCATGTGTGCCATGCCAGTACGGAGGGCGTGACCGACGTAACAGCAGCTAAAGGGCCAATTAGAGTTTCCAGCCACACAAAGGGACCTTGAACGGGACGATCCATAACTGCTACCGGGGGTGTTTACTCGTCATCCAACTCTATTGTCCGTTACAGACAGAAAGCCCATTAATCTTTTAACAAAGTGGAATTCTGCTAAACTGTAAAACTCTGTTTGATGAACTGCAAACCTCAGCTCTCCCAAAGTGTTGGAAAACCCATTTGGAAAACGAAAGAAGAAAAAGGCACAGTGAGAAGACTATTAAAGAGGCATTACAGTGGAGACGTTGGACCAAAGAGATTAAAAAAAGGAGCTGAAAATAGATGCTTGCTGTGTTTCTGCCCAGCACAAGCAGAGGAGAGTGAACCGTTTTCCACATTCATCAAAAGTGTGTCTGTTGCACTCACAGCATGCTGTAGGCAATTAGAGAGATCCTTCACGTGACCGTCTCCTCGGTTAAACCCATCCACCCTCAGCAGCAGCCCAAACACAACACACTCTGTGGCTGGAGGGTGATTTACACAAACGTTCAGGCTATACCTTCTGAGCTTTCTGAAACAGCTAGATTTAGATTTGGCAGCCACATGGGAGAGGTTTAATAAAAGATTCCCTGCAATAACAAAGATTGTGGAGCAGTTAGAAAGCTGTGTCCACGTAGTTCAGCCCATCATCATTACATGCACCAAACACATTACGCAAAAGCACAGAAGCAAATGATGTTTCACATTTAACACCAAAGGACAGTTTTTTTTTGTTCTTTAGTCATTTTTCATTCTGGCGTGACTACAGCAGGCATGTGCAAAGTGTCCATATGGGGCTCGAGGCAAAGAGCACCTCGAGAAGATGCTCACTCACATCCTGTTTGAATAAACTACAATCCATAAGTTGCATTTAATGTCATTGAATTTTCTCCGAAGAAGTTTTGGTCCGTTTTTTCTTTGCCAGTGAGGATGCAGTGATACTAAGTGAAATGTGATACGGTGTTGTGACCTCAACACCACACAGACAAGGACATCAGATCAGCTGAGACCCAAAGAAGACGAAGAAAAGGACAAAGACCACTTTAGAAGGATTTCTCAAGTCACACAGGACGGACACGAAACAAGTTGAAATTCAGGACGGATTGCTCCACAGAGGTCTGTGGCAAAAGCTGCAATCACAGCACCGAGGTTATCACGTATATTACTTGCAAACATATACACCGACTACAAATATATATATATACATATATATATATATATATATATATATATATATATATATATATATATATATATACATATATATATATAGGCTAAAATATTTACAAATCCAATTCAATAAACACACATTATCGCTGTGAGAAAAGAAAACACACCACGCCAAACAACAACAGGGTGCAAGGAGAGATTATCTTCCTTCAACTGTCCTCTGATTTAGAGTTAGCTACCACTTCTAGCATTCACTGTGATCACAAAGTCAACATTTACACAGAGGCTTGTCCAGCAGCAGGGTTAAGCTGAGTCAGCAGGTGAAAACAGAATAATAGGGAAGAGGCAAAAATCCTGGAGCACAAGAGGCTGCTTTTTTTTGTTAAAAAAAACCCCGAATCCTAATATCAACAACATTTGGGAAGTGTTTCACCAACAGGGATTCTGACTGCTGCTGCTTTTTGGATGAGCACAACTGAGCTTGTGATCTGACAGCTTTATGAATGAGCCATGATAAATGTCAGTGTTTCCAGCAGTAAAGAGTACAGATGAGCTGTGAGAGTGTGTTTTCTCTTCTTACCTCAGGTGCTTGGAGCTGCTCCTGTGGCTCTTCCTCTGCACGTGTTGCTGTGTCTGATATCTGGCTCTGCGTGCCATCAGTTGTCTTCGCATCTCTCTAAAACCAGCCAACAAAACACAGAAGTGTGTTAAGTTTATCTGCCGTGTTTTTGCTGTGTACGAGTACGACATCCAGTCTTGACTCAAAAGTAAAAAAAAAAAACACCAATCACACTTTTCCATCCCAATTAGCATACGGTTGTTGCACCCCATGCTCGCGTAAAACACATCCCTCCTCACCTTGTAGTACCCGGCGACCTGCTCTGCGATGCTGTTGATGTGCAGCATGTATTGGTGCAGCCTGCGTTGGTACCTCAGAGCCGACAGCTGGGCCTCGTTCTGCAGAGTCGATACCTGGGCCAGCAAGGACTGCTCCCTCCTGTTCCACCTGAGCCTCGCCATCCGGGTTTCGTGCTCCAGAGCGGCGCTCCTTTCCTCCAGCGCGTCGGTGACCGCGCGGAGCGCGTCCACACAACGGTGGTCCCCTTTGTCGAAGTCCTCGCCGGACAGCAGGAGCCTGCATCCTCTCTGGCAAACACCTTCAGCACGGTGACCCGTCTCCGGCTCGGTGTGTGACTCCATCGCGCCTGTGGTTCGAAACTTGACAGCAGTTTCGGCAATCAGCGCACATAGTTTGCGCTAGGCAACTTTTACCGTGCGCCACAAGGAGACGGGGGGGGGGGGAGTTGCGTTACAAGTGTGAACGCATGGAAGCGTGCGCTAAAAGTTTGTCTGCGCCGCTCGCGCTGAGCTGAGAGGGGCAGCGCCACTTCTCACACATATGATGAGATGTTGCTCTGAGGAGAAAACTTCTCCCCGCTGACGCTCTCTCTCTCTCTCTCTCTCTCTCTCTCTCTCTCTCTCTCT